CTGGGATTCTTTAGGCCATTTCCCCGATAGAGACAAGCTGAACAGCTGAACTTTATCCAAAAAAAACCTTCCTGTCCAGCCCCCCCCTCCACTCCCCCTTTTCTCTCCTTTCACAACTCCTGAAGACTGCTCTATCGACTCATCTTCTCTCTCCCCTCCGTCGTCAATTAGGCCTCACCCACCTCACAGATACTCTGCAGTCAGAGTGCGCTAAATGGGAGACGCTGGCTCACTGAATCCCTCTCCTTCCTAAAACTTCCTTTCCTCCACCTGCGGTCCAGGACGCGGCTTTCTACCTACCTCACTCGTCCTCCTCAATCTTGCTGCGCCTTCTTCATCTTCTTGACCGCTAAGTGTTGCAGTGTCTCAGAACTCAGAGAGACCCCCACCTCCCCTTTGTCTACACTCAGGCCCCAGGGAACTCCATCTGAGTTCTGGTCTTCAGAAGCCATGTATGTCCTCATGACTCCCCACTGGTTCAACTGGCCTAAAACAAACCCCTGACTCCCCCACCCCACACTTCCCCACAGCCTTCTCCGCCTGCAGTGCCATCCTTCCAACTGCTCTAACCACCTTCAACTCTCCTTCTCCCATACCTCACATCCAATTCATCAACAAATCCCGTTGGTTCTACCTTCAAGACATACCCAGAACTCATCACATCTCATCACCGCCACAGCCCCGCCGAGTCCACGTCCATCGTTTCCAGCAAGTAATGACCAAAGAGCCCTCACCCACAGGCTCTGCACAACGCAGCGGACAGAACGATCCTGAAAACATTTAGACCAGGCCAATGTTCTTCTGAAAATACGTCAAAGGCTTCCTATCTCACTCAGAATGAAAACGAAAGCCCTCAGAATGTCCCCCATGGCCCCATTCCCATTCTGACATCTCACAGACCACGCTCGGCCTCAGATCTTAAATCTGGGGGAGGAAGCTAACGCTCAGATCCATGAATATTGTCCAAGCTACGGAAAAGCAGAAGTTTTAAATTTTAATGAGGTCCTACTTGTCCATTTCTTTCATGGATTGTGCTTTTGATGTATCTAAAAAGTCATTGCCCACCTCACGTTCATTTAGATTTTCTCTTACGTTATCTTCTACAAGTTTTATGGTTTTGTATTTTATATTTAGATCTATGATCCATTCTGAAATAATTTTTGTGAAGGGTGTAAGGTCTGTGTCTAGAATTTTTTTTTTTTTGCATGTGGATGTCCTGTTATTCCAGCACCATTTGTTGAAAAGACTGTCGTTTTTTTACGGGGAGGAGTCTGCAACTGGTTTGTTGCCCCCCTACGAGGCCCAGACAGGGAGGAGCCTGCAACCGAGGTAGGTGCCCTAACCAAAATCGAACCTGTGAGCCTTCAGTCTGAAGGCCCACGCTCTATCCACTGAGCCAAACCCGTCAAGACCGGATAAAGCCTTGATTTTGGCCATATCCCTAGGGAAGAACCCACGTCCACCCGCCACAGACCCAGGTGAGCTTAGGTCTATTGTCCATCCAGGTTACCCCAAAGTCACACCTCTGTGGGGGTGCAGGAGGAGAAAGCCCTCCCCCGTGGGTGTTCTGGGCCAGTCCCGGTTTGGGGTTATCACTGACTGGGAGGCATCCAGTCTTGGCTCTGCTTCTTCCTTGGGTGTGACCTTCGAGCAAAGCATTTCGGCTCTTGGAGTCTTGGTTTCTTTCCTCCGGGAAAGATGGAGACTGAACAATGACCTGAACGGTGTCTCCTCTTGCAGAGAAGCTGTGTTCACCTTGTCTGGTGTCATTCCTCTTGGGGTGTGTGTGTGTGTGTGTGTGTGTGTGTGTGTGTGTGTGTGTGTTTATTGAGGCTGAGGACTAGGCCATGGAGCCTTTCCGCTTCTTGCGGGACACACAGGCCTGCACCAGCCCCCGATCGCCTGCAGGAGGCGCTGCAGACACACCGGGGAGGAAGGGAGTCCTCTGTCCCGGTGGCAAGGCCCAGGGATGGGCTTTCGGGGAGGATGGAGCCCAAGAAAACAGGGGCTGGAAGGAGGAGGTGCGGAGAACAGAAAAGGGAGAGCAAATTAAGAGAAGGGGCTGCCTGAGAGAGGACTCCACCGGGTTACACCCGCACCTCCGTTCCCCCCTTGCGGGACGAGAGCTTGTCCTGGTGTGTGCGCTGCAGCTCTGGTGCCCATCGGCCGGGACGCGCTGGGAGCGTGCAAAGCGCTCCCCTGCGGGGGCCGGGGTGGCGGCGGCGGCGGCCGGGAAAGCAGGAGGATTTGCAGTCGAACCTCGGGGCCAAGTCTCGGCTGCCACTTGACGTCTGTGGAGCCTCAGTTTGCTCATCAGCAAACGGGTTAGTGAGGCGGCCTCGCCGGGCTGTGAGGCTGGAGACGATCGATGTCCCAGAGGCAGCGGGCGGATTCGGGGCAGGAATTGGGGAGCGAAGCGGGTCCTGAGCGGCTGGGCGGCGACTCCCGGAGGCTCTGACACCAGGGGGTGAAGACGGGGCCGCTCCCGGCGGGGAAGGGGGTCCGGACCCACTCGCGGGGCGGGGAG